TTAAAACGGTTAAAAAGCTCAGAGTGTCTGGTTTAGCTCTTTCACTTTATTTCTCAATGGTTGAAGGCAGGAAGGCGACTAATTTCGCTGCTAGTGTCATGTAACCGTTAAGCCAAATATTTTTTTTTTTTAATTTTAAAATACGTTTTTTGTTGTGCCACAAATGGTGTTCTTTTCCCGTAATGCCCTACTTGGAGTTCTATTAATTTAAAAATATTGCTGTTAAAACAGCTTTACTCCAAAACCTTTTACCCAATTTTGCAGAATTGATCTTTGTTCTTGCCTTCTCTGTTAAATATCCAATCATGCGTTCTGATACTCCGTTTAGTTGTGGTGTATGAGGAACCGTTAAATGGTAGCTTATGCCATATTCTAAACAATAGCTACGCATGTCGTTAGACAAGTACTCTCTCCCATTATCAATGCAGAGATTCGCAACCTTTAAGTTAAAATGTGACTCGCTCTTTGCCACATAATCTTTAAAAAATGAAAACACATCAGATTTATAGGTTATCAAATAGCTTACACAATAATGTCTATATTGTTCGACAAAGACTACATCATAGTTTTCACCATCAATTCAAGTAGGTGGTATTGGACCATAAACATCCGAATGAACCATAAATAAAGGTCTCTTGACATTGTCTTTATTTTTAGTTCCATTAAACGGGAGTCTAGTTTGTTTGCCATTAACACAAGCCTCACACAAATTGTCATGCAGTTGTACATTTCTTAAAATTTCTATATCCTCAAACATTATTTCGCACAACTTCTATAAACTATCCTCTACTCATGTGTAGATGAGGCATTTGTTGCCTGCCTCTACTATTGAGTAGTAGTAGTATTGAGTAGTGAAAGTACCTTCTAAAACGCCCTGTCCGTTCTTTAACACTTACACCAGTTGAATTGAACTGAATTGTCATACCAGCATTCTGCATCTTTGGCACCGATAGTAAATTTTGTGGAATGTCCTTGCAAAAAATCACATTTTTTAGGGTAATATTTTTATTAAGATTGCTCTCTAATTTCACTGTACCCTTAACAGTATCATAAATGTACTCTATAATTTTTGCAATAGCAATCTCAATTGGTGTTTCACAACAGACTTACATTATTTATCATACTGTATGAGGCTCCTAAATGAGATATTACCTTATTATTGCTCGTATTCTTACTAGCATTCTTAAGTTCGATCTCATGATCAAGTAGTCGATTTTTGACAAATGCCAGAGTCAGTTTTTCAATTAACAAGGTTTCAATAGCATTTACCATCCCATCATATGTGTAAGGTAAAGTTAAAAGTAGGTGTGACACTTTATCCACCTCTTCAATTTTAGCTCCTGATGCTATTAACCCATTCATAAATTCGTCAAATTTTTTAAAGTGAACCGAGGCTAAACTTTTACGGACGAACACTGAGTCTAACTTCTTTAAAATTTCCATTGCAGAGTGCTTAATCTCAGCAAATGACAGAAACGAATCGGTAAGGAATTCAATTATTATATTGTTTGCTGCTCCTTTTGCCTTAGCCCATTTTTTCCGGTTTCTCCTTTTCAATAACATATAAATATTAATATTCTTGAATTTGCTACCCTTTTGGATTGTATTTTTCTTTTTTATTTTCCGAAAACGTTGTCACGTTAAATTCTTGTTTCATTCACCCACACACCTTTAATTATTTGTGCACAGTTAAGATTTGTCTTCTTTAGAGCCACTGTAAACCTACAAAGGAGTTGTGTTAATTACGCGTTGCCGAATATTCATACACATATAAACGATAAGACTATTTTTTTTTATAATTTAATTGTTTATTTAATTATGTACGCTTTTGATTTTATTTTTTTTTTAATTTTTTGGTAATGCGATGTCTGGGCCCTTAACCTATTGAAATGTACACAATTAAATGAAATACTTGTTGGTTTAGTTGATCTCAATATTTTTAAATAACTTTTCTAAGCACGTTAACTTGCTAACTCTCTAAAGTTCAGTAAAAGTGAGGCTAAACGATAAAAGCATTTCAGTATTAAAACTGAAAATAACAAATGCCTACTTGGTCATTGTACCTTTTGTATGAATGAATGTTTGTGTGTATTTCAACATTCATTATTCCAATTATTATTCCAACATTAAAAAAAAAAGGGAAAAAAACAAAATAAAATATATATTAGGGGATATGAATTTGACGAATTTGACGGGTCATCAAACTTGGATGCCACCTTCGCCGCGAAACCCTCAGCGGCGTTAGATAGTTGGTGCTGCCTTAACAGGACCATCGAATCCAACGAAGGCCACCACTCTCGCCTACGCAGGTTGTAGTGTCCTCCCTGGTCCTTCGAAGCGGACTGGAGATTGCTGTCGAGGCACTAGTTGCGGACCCCGGAGTCCCCGGGCAACCGGTCGAATCCGCTACTTGTATTGACCGCCAGCGATATCTCAGGCAAAAGCTCCTCCCACGAACTCTGATGGCCCTCGATAAATTGCGCTATCATGGTCTTCACGGTCCTGTTGGTCCTCTCGGTAGGATTTTCTTGAGGACACTACGGGGCGGTGTACTGGACCTCTACACCAAAACTCCACAAAAGCCTTGAAACTACGGCTTGTAAATTGTACTTCGTTGTCGCACACGAACTTCGTGTGTACGCCGAACCTACTTAGAATCCTCTCTCGGAATGCGGTCTGCAGGTGTGCCGCCGTGACCCTCCTGAGAGGGACCCATTTCATCCACTTTGAAAAGGCATCATGGAACACCAATACCATTGTGTTGCCATGTTTCGAGCGTGAAAGGGGCACGACGAAGTTGGCGCAGAGTACTGCCATTGGCTCTGCTATCTGCCGCGTCAGCATATGTCCAGCCGGTTTGAGTTGTTCACTCTTAAATTTTTGACAGATTTCGCAGCACTTCACGTACTTGGCGGTGTCGCGGAACATACCTGGCCAGTAGTATCTTTGTACCAATCTCGACACGGCTTTCCTCACGCCTTTGACACGCCGAACATCTAACACCCTTGCAGACCCAACCTTTTCATAATGATTATATGGCTTTGCCCGTATCTAAGAAGCACACTGAAAGTAGTTAATGCCGAGTTTGGTCACGATATTTTGATAAACAAAAAAGGTTATTACAAAAACCTAGTTTTCGACCGATCGTTCCTATGATATATGATATAGAAGTCCGAGATAAATAAGATTTTACGAAAACTGAAGGGAGCATAGTGAAATCTTTAAATGGAGTGTTTAATCAAAATATCTTGAATGAAAAAAAGTTTTCCATACAACAACTCAATATTTGATTCATCTTTCCTATGGCAGCTACATGATACAGTGGTCCGATCTTAATATGATTTAACCTATATATGAGGAGTATAGTACAACTAATAAATGCCGAGTTTGGTCAAGATATCTTGAAAAAAAAAATGTTCATACAAAATCTTAATTTTCGACCGATCGTTCCTATGTCAGCTATATGATATAGTGGTCCGATGCAGTTGGTTTTGACATATGTTCTGCGTGCAACAGATAGAAGGACTTCTGCAAAGTTTCATTAAGATAGCTTTAAAACTGAGACTAGTTCTCTCATATCGACTCGGCTGTTGATGCTGATTAAGAATATATATACTTTATGGTGTCGGAGATGTCTCCTTCTATGCGTTACACATTTCACGACAAAATTATAATACCCTCTGCAAGGGTATAAAAACACATTTTTTCTTTGCCAGCCAGAGACTTTGCCAGAGCAGTGGATAACAACACATTTAAATATGCTGTTATGTATGTATATTTACACGCATACAAACATACATAATTGCTTGCACGGCCCTCATAGAGCCGAAGCTGAGAGCACATTCTATTTTTAGCTTTTTCGTTCTCTCGGCTGTGAGAGCGCAATGCTACAGATTTCGTTTTCGTTCTCAATTTTCAAAAAATCAAGCTGCATAGTAGCATTTTGCTGTATGGCGTTACTCACCTTAGTGTTAATATTGTCTTTGGTATAAACATACCAAATGGCCCTTTTTATCGAAACAAAATATATCGAATTGAGGCATCCCCAAGGGTACCTGCGACCATTTGAGTGTGCCCAGACAGAATAAGACTGCTGAGAGTGGCAGCCGAACGCCGGCCTCAAAAGCCGAACGTTCAGTATGAAGCCGCATCTCGCTCAGCGCACAACTTCGAGGCTGATGATGCGTTTTCCTAATATATGTATGTATGCCATTTTTAAATCCTTACAGCCCAAAAACATATATGTGTATGCATGTGTCTCGCTCTCACTCATTGCTTCGCGCACTTGCATCCATCTCATTCTCCCTGCATAGCTTCCCACAAAACCCCGAGATCTACAAACATTCATATGTTTGTGTTGTGTGGATATGCACACAAGTAGATCGCGGCGTTTGTCGCGACCCAGAGGTTATTTCTTCAATTGTGCCTTTTGTCTAAGTCATATTTCTGCAAGGGTAATTCATCGTTGGCTTGTCGAAGAATTTAAAAAAAAGGCAAAAAATTGACGCACACTCTTTCAAGTAAGCAGTTGTGTGATATTATTAAAGGGTTTGGCCTGTTCATGTGCAAAATTGCTATTTACCATGCTTGTTTTAAGGGTAAGGGTACCTGATCGCTGGCATGTGTTCATGATAACTTTTTGGGTCGGCCAACCATGCACACAAACACACTTTTCTATATGGATAGAAGCATTAATGCGTTTGTGTGCATGTTGGTTGCCTGGCTGCCTGCCCGATGCAAATTTGACAAGATTTGAAGTTTTTGGTATTTTATTATTCATAAGTTACGTAACCAAATAACATAAACCTTCTTATATATAAATTTTTATCCAATGTTTATGAAAAATATAATTTCGTATTTAGTGTGCAACTATGGGTACGACTCCCTAAATAGTTGTTGTATGTGTGTCTAATTTCACACATAAAGGTGCAAATCTGCATATATGTATGTATGTGTCTGCCAAGCCAAGGGAAATCTATGAACTTGAGAAGATTGCAATATTCTGTTGCGCATGTGACGTCACAGCCTAGGGTTTATTCCGTGCGATCATTTCGTATTTAAAGTGATTACATACATCATTCAATTATATACTGTAAAGGATCCTATTCATAAATTATTTAAATATGCCTAATATAAGTAGAAATATATACTAAACATCACAAAAAATTAAGTTCTATTAATTGTGACGCTATAATATATGATGTTAGTGCGCCGTCCGCGTATCCCTTTAATATGATTGCCATGGCTTGCTGGCGTCATAATTTTCTACCTGCTTGCGCTGAGACTTGGCTCTTCAATAACAACATAAGTACCCAAATTGTGCTGTTGTGGTTTCTACGCGCTGCCTTGTAGGAAGGACAGAGAAACCCCCAAGAACACATTGGCTTTATTGTCCCCTCTCTTTGCACTGAGTATCCAATGTCCTCATCATGGCTCGCAAACCTCTTGTCGATCAAAACGGGGATGAAGAACAAATTAGGTTTCGTACGCACTGTTGCTTCCTATGGTAAATGAGCTTTTCTTTGGATTTTGATTTTGCGTTTGCGGACCAGCCCGATCTATTCTCGTGGTTTTTAAAACGGTTAAAAAGCTCAGAGTGTCTGGTTTAGCTCTTTCACTTTATTTCTCAATGGTTGAAGGCAGGAAGGCGACTAATTTCGCTGCTAGTGTCATGTAACCGTTAAGCCAAATATTTTTTTTTTTTAATTTTAAAATACGTTTTTTGTTGTGCCACAAATGGTGTTCTTTTCCCGTAATGCCCTACTTGGAGTTCTATTAATTTAAAAATATTGCTGTTAAAACAGCTTTACTCCAAAACCTTTTACCCAATTTTGCAGAATTGATCTTTGTTCTTGCCTTCTCTGTTAAATATCCAATCATGCGTTCTGATACTCCGTTTAGTTGTGGTGTATGAGGAACCGTTAAATGGTAGCTTATGCCATATTCTAAACAATAGCTACGCATGTCGTTAGACAAGTACTCTCTCCCATTATCAATGCAGAGATTCGCAACCTTTAAGTTAAAATGTGACTCGCTCTTTGCCACATAATCTTTAAAAAATGAAAACACATCAGATTTATAGGTTATCAAATAGCTTACACAATAATGTCTATATTGTTCGACAAAGACTACATCATAGTTTTCACCATCAATTCAAGTAGGTGGTATTGGACCATAAACATCCGAATGAACCATAAATAAAGGTCTCTTGACATTGTCTTTATTTTTAGTTCCATTAAACGGGAGTCTAGTTTGTTTGCCATTAACACAAGCCTCACACAAATTGTCATGCAGTTGTACATTTCTTAAAATTTCTATATCCTCAAACATTATTTCGCACAACTTCTATAAACTATCCTCTACTCATGTGTAGATGAGGCATTTGTTGCCTGCCTCTACTATTGAGTAGTAGTAGTATTGAGTAGTGAAAGTACCTTCTAAAACGCCTTGTCCGTTCTTTAACACTTACACCAGTTGAATTGAACTGAATTGTCATACCAGCATTCTGCATCTTTGGCACCGATAGTAAATTTTGTGGAATGTCCTTGCAAAAAATCACATTTTTTAGGGTAATATTTTTATTAAGATTGCTCTCTAATTTCACTGTACCCTTAACAGTATCATAAATGTACTCTATAATTTTTGCAATAGCAATCTCAATTGGTGTTTCACAACAGACTTACATTATTTATCATACTGTATGAGGCTCCTAAATGAGATATTACCTTATTATTGCTCGTATTCTTACTAGCATTCTTAAGTTCGATCTCATGATCAAGTAGTCGATTTTTGACAAATGCCAGAGTCAGTTTTTCAATTAACAAGGTTTCAATAGCATTTACCATCCCATCATATGTGTAAGGTAAAGTTAAAAGTAGGTGTGACACTTTATCCACCTCTTCAATTTTAGCTCCTGATGCTATTAACCCATTCATAAATTCGTCAAATTTTTTAAAGTGAACCGAGGCTAAACTTTTACGGACGAACACTGAGTCTAACTTCTTTAAAATTTCCATTGCAGAGTGCTTAATCTCAGCAAATGACAGAAACGAATCGGTAAGGAATTCAATTATTATATTGTTTGCTGCTCCTTTTGCCTTAGCCCATTTTTTCCGGTTTCTCCTTTTCAATAACATATAAATATTAATATTCTTGAATTTGCTACCCTTTTGGATTGTATTTTTCTTTTTTATTTTCCGAAAACGTTGTCACGTTAAATTCTTGTTTCATTCACCCACACACCTTTAATTATTTGTGCACAGTTAAGATTTGTCTTCTTTAGAGCCACTGTAAACCTACAAAGGAGTTGTGTTAATTACGCGTTGCCGAATATTCATACACATATAAACGATAAGACTATTTTTTTTTATAATTTAATTGTTTATTTAATTATGTACGCTTTTGATTTTATTTTTTTTTTAATTTTTTGGTAATGCGATGTCTGGGCCCTTAACCTATTGAAATGTACACAATTAAATGAAATACTTGTTGGTTTAGTTGATCTCAATATTTTTAAATAACTTTTCTAAGCACGTTAACTTGCTAACTCTCTAAAGTTCAGTAAAAGTGAGGCTAAACGATAAAAGCATTTCAGTATTAAAACTGAAAATAACAAAAGCCTACTTGGTCATTGTACCTTTTGTATGAATGAATGTTTGTGTATTTCAACATTCATTATTCCAATTATTATTCCAACATTTAAAAAAAAGGGAAAAAACAAAATAAAATATATATTAGGGGATATGAATTTGACGACGCTATAGGGGTCATCAAACTTGGGTGCCACCTTCGCCGCGAAACCCTCAGCGGCGTTGGATAGTTGGTGCTGCCTTAACAGGACCATCGAATCCAACGAAGACCACCACTCTCGCCTCCGCAGGTTGTAGTGTCCTCCCTGGTCCTTCGAAGCGCACTGGAGATTGCTGTGGACGCACTAGTTGCGGACCCCGGAGTCCCCGGGCAACCGGTCGAATCCGCCACTTGTATTGACCGCCAGCGATATCTCAGGGAAAAGCTCCTCCCACGAATTCTAATGGCCCTCGATAAATTGCGCTATCATGGTCTTCACGGTCCTGTTGGTCCTCTCGGTAGGATTTTCTTGAGGACACTACGGGGCGGTGTACTGGACCTCTACACCAAAACTCCACAAAAGCCATAAAACTACGGCTTGTAAATTGTACTTCGTTGTTGCACACGAACTTCGTGTGTACGCCGAACCTACTTAGAATCCTCTCTCGGAATGCGGTCTGCAGGTGTGCCGCCGTGACCCTCCTGAGAGGGACCCATTTCACCCACTTTGAAAAGGCATCATGGAACACCAATACCATTGTGTTGCCATGTTTCGAGCGTGAAAGGGGCACGACGAAGTTGGCGCAGAGTACTGCCATTGGCTCTGCGCTCTGCCGCGTCAGCATATGTCCAGCCAGTTTGAGTTGTTCACTCTTGAATTTTTGACAGATTTCGCAGCACTTCACGTACTTGGCGGTGTCGCGGAACATACCTGGCCAGTAGTATCTTTGTGCCAATCTCGACACGGCTTTCCTCACGCCTTGATGTCCGGCCGTGGGAGCGTTGTGGCATTCCTGCAATACCCTCTGTCGCTGATCACTAGACACGCATAGCTTCCATGAAATTTAATCGCCATCAGTTACCCATTATCTTTTATGTAGTACGAGAACTTGGCCGGCTCCTCGGCGATTCTAGCACTCATACTCGCGACCCACCTGCTGGGTGAGTCGGCTACCGCAGCTTGTTGGCAGGTCTGTAGATGATGTCTTGATAGTGCGTCGGCCACAACGTTGAGCTCCCCTCGACGGTAGTGGACGTCGAATTGGAACTGTTGTAGCGTTTCCAGTTCTATACACAGATGTGTATGAATGGGCAAATCATGACCACGGGAGAAAATTTTATTATTCTTTTGTTTGTGTTTCTTATTTTTCTTTCTTATACTTTTCAATTATTCTTTGCGGTAGTGCTTTGAACTAGAAACTTGAACTAGAACTTGAAAAGAAAGGCTATCTTTGACACGCCGAACATCTAATACCCTTGCAGACCTAACCTTTTCATAATGATTATATGGCTTTGCCCGTATCTAAGAAGCACAGGGAAAATAGTTAATGCCGAGTTTGGTCACGATATTTTGATAAACAAAAAAGGTTATTACAAAAATCTAGTTTTCGACCGATCGTTCCTATGATATATGATATAGAATACCGAGATAAATAAGATTTTACGAAAACTGAAGGGAGCATAGTGAAATCTTTAAATGGCGTGTTTAATCAAAATATCTTGAATGAAAAAAAGTTTTCCATACAACAACTCAATATTTGATTCATCTTTCCTATGGCAGCTACATGATACAGTGGTCCGATCTTAATATGATTTAGCCTATATATGAGGAGTATAGTACAACTAATAAATGCCGAGTTTGGTCAAGATATCTTGAAAAAAAAAATGTTCATACAAAATCTTAATTTTCGACCGATCGTTCCTATGTCAGCTATATGATATAGTGGTCCGATGCAGTTGGTTTTGACATATGTTCTGCGTGCAACAGATAGAAGGACTTCTGCAAAGTTTCATTAAGATAGCTTTAAAACTGAGACTAGTTCTCTCATATCGACTCGGCTGTTGATGCTGATTAAGAATATATATACTTCATGGTGTCGGAGATGTCTCCTTCTATGCGTTACACATTTCACGACAAAATTATAATACCCTCTGCAAGGGTATAAAAACACATTTTTTCTTTGCCAGCCAGAGACTGCCAGAGCAGTGGATAACAACACATTTAAATATGCTGTTATGTATGTATATTTACACGCATACAAACATACATAATTGCTTGCACGGCCCTCATAGAGCCGAAGCTGAGAGCACATTCTATTTTTAGCTTTTTCGTTCTATCGGCTGTGAGAGCGCAATGCTACAGATTTCGTTTTCGTTCTCAATTTTCAAAAAATCAAGCTGCATAGTAGCATTTTGCTGTATGGCGTTACTCACCTTAGTGTTAATATTGTCTTTGGTATAAACATACCAAATGGCCCTTTTTATCGAAACAAAATATATCGAATTGAGGCATCCCCAAGGGTACCTGCGACCATTTGAGTGTGCCCAGACAGAATAAGACTGCTGAGAGTGGCAGCCGAACGCCGGCCTCAAAAGCCGAACGTTTAGTATGACGCCGCATCTCGCTTAGCGCACAACTTCGAGGCTGATGATGCGTTTTCCTAATATATGTATGTAAGCCATTTTTAAATCCTTACAGCCCAAAAACATATATGTGTATGCATGTGTCTCGCTCTCACTCATTGCTTCGCGCACTTGCATCCATCTCATTCTCCCTGCATAGCTTCCCACAGAAACCCGAGATCTACAAACATTCATATGTTTGTGTTGTGTGGATATGCACACAAGTAGATCGCGGCGTTTGTCGCGACCCAGAGGTTATTTCTTCAATTGTGCCTTTTGTCTAAGTCATATTTCTGCAAGGGTAATTCATCGTTGGCTTGTCGAAGAATTTAAAAAAAAGGCAAAAAATGGACGCACACTCTTTCAAGTAAGCAGTTGTGTGATATTATTAAAGGGTTTGGCCTGTTCATGTGCAAAATTGCTATTTACCATGCTTGTTTTAAGGGTAAGGGTACCTGATCGCTGGCATGTGTTCATGATAACTTTTTGGGTCGGCCAACCATGCACACAAACACACTTTTCTATATGGATAGAAGCATTAATGCGTTTGTGTGCATGTTGGTTGCCTGGCTGCCTGCCCGATGCAAATTTGACAAGATTTGAAGTTTTTGGTATTTTATTATTCATAAGTTACGTAACCAAATAACATAAACCTTCTTATATATAAATTTTTATCCAATGTTTATGAAAAATATAATTTCGTATTTAGTGTGCAACTATGGGTACGACTCCCTAAATAGTTGTTGTATGTGTGTCTAATTTCACACATAAAGGTGCAAATCTGCATATATGTATATATGTGTCTGCCAAGCCAAGGGAAGTCTATGAACTTGAGAAGATTGCAATATTCTGTTGCGCATGTGACGTCACAGCCTAGGGTTTATTCCGTGCGATCATTTCGTATTTAAAGTGATTACATACATCATTCAATTATATACTGTAAAGGATCCTATTCATAAATTATTTAAATATGCCTAATATAAGTAGAAATATATACTAAACATCACAAAAAATTAAGTTCTATTAATTGTGACGCTATAATATATGATGTTAGTGCGCCGTGCGCGTATCCCTTTAATATGATTGCCATGGCCTGCTGGCGTCATAATTTTCTACCTGCTTGCACTGAGACTTGGCTCTTCAATAACAACATAAGTACCCAAATTGTGCTGTTGTGGTTTCTACGCGCTGCCTTGTAGGAAGGACAGAGAAACCCCCAAGAACACATTGGCTTTATTGTCCCCTCTCTTTGCACTGAGTATCCAATGTCCTCATCATGGCTCGCAAACCTCTTGTCGATCAAAACGGGGATGAAGAACAAATTAGGTTTCGTACGCACTGTTGCTTCCTATGGTAAATGAGCTTTTCTTTGGATTTTGATTTTGCGTTTGCGGACCAGCCCGATCTATTCTCGTGGTTTTTAAAACGGTTAAAAAGCTCAGAGTGTCTGGTTTAGCTCTTTCACTTTATTTCTCAATGGTTGAAGGCAGGAAGGCGACTAATTTCGCTGCTAGTGTCATGTAACCGTTAAGCCAAATATTTTTTTTTTTTTAATTTTAAAATACGTTTTTTGTTGTGCCACAAATGGTGTTCTTTTCCCGTAATGCCCTACTTGGAGTTCTATTAATTTAAAAATATTGCTGTTAAAACAGCTTTACTCCAAAACCTTTTACCCAATTTTGCAGAATTGATCTTTGTTCTTGCCTTCTCTGTTAAATATCCAATCATGCGTTCTGATACTCCGTTTAGTTGTGGTGTATGAGGAACCGTTGAATGGTAGCTTATGCCATATTCTAAACAATAGCTACGCTTGTCGTTAGACAAGTACTCTCTCCCATTATCAATGCAGAGATTCGCAACCTTTAAGTTAAAATGTGACTCGCTCTTTGCCACATAATCTTTAAAAAATGAAAACACATCAGATTTATAGGTTATCAAATAGCTTACACAATAATGTCTATATTGTTCGACAAAGACTACATCATAGTTTTCACCATGAATTCAAGTAGGTGGTATTGGACCATAAACATCCGAATGAACCATAAATAAAGGTCTCTTGACATTGTCTTTATTTTTAGTTCCACTAAACGGGAGTCTAGTTTGTTTGCCATTAACACAAGCCTCACACAAATTGTCATGCAGTTGTACATTTCTTAAAATTTCTATATCCTCAAACATTATTTCGCACAACTTCTATAAACTATCCTCTACTCATGTGTAGATGAGGCATTTGTTGCCTGCCTCTACTATTGAGTAGTAGTAGTATTGAGTAGTGAAAGTACCTTCTAAAACGCCTTGTCCGTTCTTTAACACTTACACCAGTTGAATTGAACTGAATTGTCATACCAGCATTCTGCATCTTTGGCACCGATAGTAAATTTTGTGGAATGTCCTTGCAAAAAATCACAATTTTTAGGGTAATATTTTTATTAAGATTGCTCTCTAATTTCACCCTTAAAAATATCATAAATGTACTCTATAATTTTTGCAATAGCAATCTCAATTGGTGTTTCCAGTAAACCGTATTTCACAACAGACTTACATTATTTATCATACTGTATGAGGCTCCTAAATGAGATATTACCTTATTATTGCTCGTATTCTTACTAGCATTCTTAAGTTCGATCTCATGATCAAGTAGTCGATTTTTGACAAATGCCAGAGTCAGTTTTTCAATTAACAAGGTTTCAATAGCATTTACCATCCCATCATATGTGTAAGGTAAAGTTAAAAGTAGGTGTGACACTTTATCCACCTCTTCAATTTTAGCTCCTGATGCTATTAACCCATTCATAAATTCGTCAAATTTTTTAAAGTGAACCGAGGCTAAACTTTTACGGACGAACACTGAGTCTTACTTCTTTAAAATTTCCATTGCAGAGTGCTTATTCTCAGCAAATGACAGAAACGAATCGGTAAGGAATTCAATTATTATATTGTTTGCTGCTCCTTTTGCCTTAGCCCATTTTTTCCGGTTTCTCCTTTTCAATAACATATAAATATTAATATTCTTGAATTTGCTACCCTTTTGGATTGTATTTTTCTTTTTTATTTTCCGAAAACGTTGTCACGTTAAATTCTTGTTTCATTCACTCACACACCTTTAATTATTTGTGCACAGTTAAGATTTGTCTTCTTTAGAGCCACTGTAAACCTACAAAGGAGTTGTGTTAATTACGCGTTGCCGAATATTCATACACATATAAACGATAAGACTATTTTTTTTTATAATTTAATTGTTTATTTAATTATGTACGCTTTTGATTTTATTTTTTTTAATTTTTTGGTAATGCGATGTCTGGGCCCTTAACCTATTGAAATGTACACAATTAAATGAAATACTTGTTGGTTTAGTTGATCTCAATATTTTTAAATAACTTTTCTAAGCACGTTAACTTGCTAACTCTCTAAAGTTCAGTAAAAGTGAGGCTAAACGATAAAAGCATTTCAGTATTAAAACTGAAAATAACAAAAGCCTACTTGGTCATTGTACCTTTTGTATGAATGAATGTTTGTGTATTTCAACATTCATTATTCCAATTATTATTCCAACATTTAAAAAAAAAGGGAAAAAAACAAAATAAAATATATATTAGGGGATATGAATTTGACGACGCTATAGGGGTCATCAAACTTGGGTGCCACCTTCGCCGCGAAACCCTCAGCGGCGTTGGATAGTTGGTGCTGCCTTAACAGGACCATCGAATCCAACGAAGGCCACCACTCTCGCCTCCGCAGGTTGTAGTGTCCTCCCTGGTCCTTCGAAGCGCACTGGAGATTGCTGTGGACGCACTAGTTGCGGACCCCGGAGTCCCCGGGCAACCGGTCGAATCCGCCACTTGTATTGACCGCCAGCGATATCTCAGGGAAAAGCTCCTCCCACGAATTCTGATGGCCCTCGATAAATTGCGCTATCATGGTCTTCACGGTTCTGTTGGTCCTCTCGGTAGGATTTTCTTGAGGACACTACGGGGCGGTGTCTGGACCTCTACACCAAAACTCCACAAAAGCTATAAAACTACGGCTTGTAAATTGTACTTCGTTGTCGCACACGAACTTCGTGTGTACGCCGAACCTACTTAGAATCCTCTCTCGGAATGCGGTCTGCAGGTGTGCCGCCGTGACCCTCCTGAGAGGGACCCATTTTACCCACTTTGAAAAGGCATCATGGAACACCAATACCATTGTGTTGCCATGTTTCGAGCGTGAAAGGGGCACGACGAAGTTGGCGCAGAGTACTGCCATTGGCTCTGCGCTCTGCCGCGTCAGCATATGTCCAGCCGGTTTGAGTTGTTCACTCTTGAATTTTTGACAGATTTCGCAGCACTTCACGTACTTGGCGGTGTCGCGGAACATACCTGGCCAGTAGTATCTTTGTGCCAATCTCGACACGGCTTTCCTCACACCTTGATGTCCGGCCGTGGGAGCGTTGTGGCATTCCTGCAATACCCTCTGTCGCTGATCACTAGACACGCATAGCTTCCATGAAATTTAATCGCCATCAGTTACCCATTATCTTTTATGTAGTACGAGAACTTGGCCGGCTCCTCGGCGATTCTAGCACTCATACTCGCGACCCACCTGCTGGGTGAGTCGGCTACCGCAGCTTGTTGGCAGGTCTGTAGATGATGTCTTGATAGTGCGTCGGCCACAACGTTGAGCTCCCCTCGACGGTAGTGGACGTCGAATTGGAACTGTTGTAGCGTTTCCAGTTCTATACACAGATGTGTATGAATGGGCAAATCATGACCACGGGAGAAAATTTTATTATTCTTTTGTTTGTGTTTCTTATTTTTCTTTCTTATACTTTTCAATTATTCTTTGCGGTAGTGCTTTGAACTAGAAACTTGAACTAGAACTTGAAAAGAAAGGCTATCTTTGACACGCCGAACATCTAATACCCTTGCAGACCTAACCTTTTCATAATGATTATATGGCTTTGCCCGTATCTAAGAAGCACAGGGAAAATAGTTAATGCCGAGTTTGGTCACGATATTTTGATAAACAAAAAAGGTTATTACAAAAATCTAGTTTTCGACCGATCGTTCCTATGATATATGATATAGAATACCGAGATAAATAAGATTTTACGAAAACTGCAGGGAGCATAGTGAAATCTTTAAATGGCGTGTTTAATCAAAATATCTTGAATGAAAAAAAGTTTTCCATACAACAACTCAATATTTGATTCATCTTTCCTATGACAGCTACATGATACAGTGGTCCGATCTTAATATGATTTAGCCTATATATGAGGAGTATAGTACAACTAATAAATGCCGAGTTTGGTCAAGATATCTTGAAAAAAAAAATGTTTTTTTCATACAAAATCTTAATTTTCGACCGATCGTTCCTATGTCAGCTATATGATATAGTGGTCCGATGCAGTTGGTTTTGACATATGTTTTGCGTGCAACAGATAGAGGGACTTCTGGAAAGTTTCATTAAGATAGCTTTAAAACTGTGACTAGTTCTCTCATATCGACTCGGCTGTTGATGCTGATTAAGAATATATATACTTTATGGTGTCGGAGATGTCTCCTTCTATGCGTTACACATTTCACGACAAAATTATAATACCCTCTGCAAGGGTATAAAAACACATTTTTTCTTTGCCAGCCAGAGACTTTGCCAGAGCAGTGGATAACAACACATTTAAATATGCTGTTATGTATGTATATTTACACGCATACAAACATACATAATTGCTTGCACGGCCCTCATAGAGCCGAAGCTGAGAGCACATTCTATTTTTAGCTTTTTCGTTCTATCGGCGGTGAGAGCGCAATGCTACAGATTTCGTTTTCGTTCTCAATTTTCAAAAAATCAAGCTGCATAGTAGCATTTTGCTGTATGGCGTTACTCACCTTAGTGTTAATATTGTCTTTGGTATAAACATACCAAATGGCCCTTTTTATCGAAACAAAATATATCGAATTGAGGCATCCCCAAGGGTACCTGCGACCATTTGAGTGTGCCCAGACAGAATAAGACTGCTGAGAGTGGCAGCCGAACGCCGGCCTCAAAAGCCGAACGTTCAGTATGAAGCCGCATCTCGCTCAGCGCACAACTTCGAGGCTGATGATGCGTTTTCCTAATATATGTATGTATGCCATTTTTAAATCCTTACAGCCCAAAAACATATATGTGTATGCATATGTCTCGCTCTCACTCATTGCTTCGCGCACTTGCATCCATCTCATTCTCCCTGCATAGCTTCCCACAAAACCCCGAGATCTACAAACATTCATATGTTTGTGTTGTGTGTCGCGACCCAGAGGTTATTTCTTCAATTGTGTGCCTTTTGTGCTATGGTAGCAACAGGCACTCACATTTAAATGCTCTATCATGTATTTCTTCGTCCACTCAGGCATGATGACATGAATTTGATCAAATTTTAATTAATACACAATTAATTGACCTAAATGAAATATGTATATTTATTTTCTTTTTACTGTAGGGACCTATTTTAAGAAAAGGCCAAAAATTGACGCACACTCTTTCAAGTAAGCAGTTCTGTGATATTATTGAAGGGTTTGGCCTGTTCATGTGCAAAATTGCTATTTACCATGCTTGTTTTAAGGGTAAGGGTACCTGATCGCTGGCATGTGTTCATGATAACTTTTTGGGTCGGCCAACCATGCACACAAACACACTTTTCTATATGGATAGAAGCATTAATGCGTTTGTGTGCATGTTGGTTGCCTGGCTGCCTGCCCGATGCAAATTTGACAAGATTTGAAGTTTTTGGTATTTTATTATTCATAAGTTACGTAACCAAATAACATAAACCTTCTTATATATAAATTTTTATCCAATGTTTATGAAAAATATAATTTCGTATTTAGTGTGCAACTATGGGTACGACTCCCTAAATAGTTGTTGTATGTGTGTCTAATTTCACACATAAAGGTGCAAATCTGCATATATGTATGTATGTGTCTGCCAAGCCAAGGGAAATCTATGAACTTGAGAAGATTGCAATATTCTGTTGCGCATGTGACGTCACAGCCTAGGGTTTATTCCGTGCGATCATTTCGTATTTAAAGTGATTACATACATCATTCAATTATATACTGTAAAGGATCCTATTCATAAATTATTTAAATATGCCTAATATAAGTAGAAATATATACTAAACATCACAAAAAATTAAGTTCTATTAATTGTGACGCTATAATATATGATGTTAGTGCGCCGTCCGCGTATCCCTTTAATATGATTGCCATGGCTTGCTGGCGTCATAATTTTATACCTGCTTGCGCTGAGACTTGGCTCTTCAATAACAACATAAGTACCCAAATTGTGCTGTTGTGGTTTCTACGCGCTGCCTTGTAGGAAGGACAGAGAAACCCCCAAGAACAAATTGGCTTTATTGTCCCCTCTCTTTGCACTGAGTATCCAATGTCCTCATCATGGCTCGCAAACCTCTTGTCGATCAAAACGGGGATGAAGAACAAATTAGGTTTCGTACGCACTGTTGCTTCCTATGGTAAATGAGCTTTTCTTTGGATTTTGATTTTGCGTTTGCGGACCAGCCCGATCTATTCTCGTGGTTTTTAAAACGGTTAAAAAGCTCAGAGTGTCTGGTTTAGCTCTTTCACTTTATTTCTCAATGGTTGAAGGCAGGAAGGCGACTAATTTCGCTGCTAGTGTCATGTAACCGTTAAGCCAAATATTTTTTTTTTTTAATTTTAAAATACGTTTTTTGTTGTGCCACAAATGGTGTTCTTTTCCCGTAATGCCCTACTTGGAGTTCTATTAATTTAAAAATATTGCTGTTAAAACAGCTTTACTCCAAAACCTTTTACCCAATTTTGCAGAATTGATCTTTGTTCTTGCCTTCTCTGTTAAATATCCAATCATGCGTTCTGATACTCCGTTTAGTTGTGGTGTATGAGGAACCGTTAAATGGTAGCTTATGCCATATTCTAAACAATAGCTACGCTTGTCGTTAGACAAGTACTCTCTCCCATTATCAATGCAGAGATTCGCAACCTTTAAGTTAAAATGTGACTCGCTCTTTGCCACATAATCTTTAAAAAATGAAAACACATCAGATTTATAGGTTATCAAATAGCTTACACAATAATGTCTATATTGTTCGACAAAGACTACATCATAGTTTTCACCATGAATTCAAGTAGGTGGTATTGGACCATAAACATCCGAATGAACCATAAATAAAGGTCTCTTGACATTGTCTTTATTTTTAGTTCCACTAAACGGGAGTCTAGTTTGTTTGCCATTAACACAAGCCTCACACAAATTGTCATGCAGTTGTACATTTCTTAAAATTTCTATATCCTCAAACATTATTTCGCACAACTTCTATAAACTATCCTCTACTCATGTGTAGATGAGGCATTTGTTGCCTGCCTCTACTATTGAGTAGTAGTAGTATTGAGTAGTGAAAGTACCTTCTAAAACGCCTTGTCCGTTCTTTAACACTTACACCAGTTGAATTGAACTGAATTGTCATACCAGCATTCTGCATCTTTGGCACCGATAGTAAATTTTGTGGAATGTCCTTGCAAAAAATCACATTTTTTAGGGTAATATTTTTATTAAGATTGCTCTCTAATTTCACCCTTAACAATATCATAAATGTACTCTATAATTTTTGCAATAGCAATCTCAATTGGTGTTTCCAGTAAACCGTATTTCACAACAGACTTACATTATTTATCATACGGTATGAGGCTCCTAAATGAGATATTACCTTATTATTGCTCGTATTCTTACTAGCATTCTTAAGTTCGATCTCATGATCAAGTAGTCGATTTTTGACAAATGCCAGAGTCAGTTTTTCAATTAACAAGGTTTCAATAGCATTTACCATCCCATCATATGTGTAAGGTAAAGTTAAAAGTAGGTGTGACACTTTATCCACCTCTTCAATTTTAGCTCCTGATGCTATTAACCCATTCATAAATTCGTCAAATTTTTTAAAGTGAACCGAGGCTAAACTTTTACGGACGAACACTGAGTCTAACTTCTTTAAAATTTCCATTGCAGAGTGCTTATTCTCAGCAAATGACAGAAACGAATCGGTAAGGAATTCAATTATTATATTGTTTGCTGCTCCTTTTGCCTTAGCCCATTTTTTCCGGTTTCTCCTTTTCAATAACATATAAATATTAATATTCTTGAATTTGCTACCCTTTTGGATTGTATTTTTCTTTTTTATTTTCCGAAAACGTTGTCACGTTAAATTCTTGTTTCATTCACTCACACACCTTTAATTATTTGTGCACAGTTAAGATTTGTCTTCTTTAGAGCCACTGTAAACCTACAAAGGAGTTGTGTTAATTACGCGTTGCCGAATATTCATACACATATAAACGATAAGACTATTTTTTTTTATAATTTAATTGTTTATTTAATTATGTACGCTTTTGATTTTATTTTTTTTAATTTTTTGGTAATGCGATGTCTGGGCCCTCAACCTATTGAAATGTACACAATTAAATGAAATACTTGTTGGTTTAGTTGATGTCAATATTTTTAAATAACTTTTCTAAGCACGTTAACTTGCTAACTCTCTAAAGTTCAGTAAAAGTGAGGCTAAACGATAAAAGCATTTCAGTATTAAAACTGAAAAAGTCTACTTGGTCATTGTACCTTTTGTATGAATGAATGTTTGTGTATTTCAACATTCATTATTCCAATTATTATTCCAACATTTAAAAAAAAGGGAAAAAAACAAAATAAAATATATATTAGGGGATATGAATTTGACGACGCTATAGGGGTCATCAAACTTGGGTGCCACCTTCGCCGCGAAACCCTCAGCGGCGTTGGATAGTTGGTGCTGCCTTAACAGGACCATCGAATCCAACGAAGGCCACCACTCTCGCCTCCGCAGGTTGTAGTGTCCTCCCTGGTCCTTCGATGCGCACTGGAGATTGCTGTGGACGCACTAGTTGCGGACCCCGGAGTCCCCGGGCAACCGGTCGAATCCGCTACTTGTATTGACCGCCAGCGATATCTCAGGCAAAAGCTCCTCCCACGAACTCTGATGGCCCTCGATAAATTGCGCTATCATGGTCTTCACGGTCCTGTTGGTCCTCTCGGTTGGATTTTCTTGAGGACACTACGGGGCGGTGTACTGGACCTCTACACCAAAACTCCACAAAAGCCTTGAAACTACGGCTTGTAAATTGTACTTCGTTGTCGCACACGAACTTCGTGTGTACGCCGAACCTACTTAGAATCCTCTCTCGGAATGCGGTCTGCAGGTGTGCCGCCGTGACCCTCCTGAGAGGGACCCATTTCACTTTGAAAAGGCATCATGGAACACCAATACCATTGTGTTGCCATGTTTCGAGCGTGAAAGGGGCACGACGAAGTTGGCGCAGAGTACTGCCATTGGCTCTGTCTGTCTTAAATTTTTGACAGATTTCGCAGCACTTCACGTACTTGGCGGTGTCGCGGAACATACCTGGCCAGTAGTATCTTTGTGCCAATCTCGACACGGCTTTCCTCACGCCTTGATGTCCGGCCGTGGGAGCGTTGTGGCATTCCTGCAATACCCTCTGTCGCTGATCACTAGACACGCATAGCTTCCATGAAATTTAATCGTCATCAGTTACCCATTATCTTTTATGTAGTAAGAGAACTTGGCCGGGTCCTCGGCGATTCTAGCACTCATACTCGCGACCCACCTGCTGGGTGACTCGGCTACCGCAGCTTGTTGGCAGGTCTCTAGATGATGTCTTGATAGTGCGTCGGCCACAACGTTGAACTGCCCTCGACGGTAGTGGACGTCGAATTGGAACTGTTGTAGCTCCAGTGCCCATCGCGCGATCCTGCCTGAAGGGCTCTCGATCGAGTTGAGCCACTTAAGTGCCAGATGAAACGTCGAAATGGTACCCTTCTTGGTAGCAACGGAGCTTCCGTATCGACCAAAGGATTGGCAGGCACTCTTTCTCGGTGGCGGAATAGTTCGCTTCGGCCTTTAGCAACTTTCTAGGCGCGTACGCTATATGTACGTAACACCTCCCTCAAGTTCTCTACATGTTGCTCTTTCGTTGCCCCTATTACCACGATGTCGTCTATGTAGGCGAACGTTTAAGGCTCCATTTCCGGCCCAATGAGCGTGTCTAAGGCTCGCTGGAAGGTCGCACATGCCGAGAGTAAGCCGAATGGTATCAACTGCCATTGGAAAAGACCTCTTCCGGGGACCGTGAACGCCGGACATTCCCGACTATCGGCTGCCATCGGTATCTGCCAATACCCGTGCTTCAAATCCAGAGGAGAAATGAACCGGGCGTGACTTAACCGCTCAAGGATGTGATTAATCCTGGGAACATGATAAGCGGCTGGGGATACGCGTTGAGTTGCCGGTAGTCGATGCACATGCGCCATTCGCCAGTCTTCTTTTTGACGACTGGGGCGCTATGCGGACTACGCGATGGCTCGATGGCACTTGTCCGGATCAGCTCATCTACCTGTTCGTCAATCACCCTCTGCATGGCCGGATTCTTCGGATAATATCGCTGGTTTAATGACTTGTCGTCCTTTAGCCGGATCCTGTGCTCCGCGATATGCGAGACCCTGCGCCCCCGCAAACAGTGCCAGTTCCGTCTCCAGGAACTCCCTAAGTTCCGTATCCAGATCCGCTGACCACTCTGCCTCTCCGATGTTATGCTCGCTCTTTGTGTCGCCCCTTCCGGGCACTACTTCGACTCCAGATAGGGCTCCATGATCGCTTCAATCTGGCAGTCGCTCCTGATCCCCTGTGTCCGCGTGGATTCTGACCGTTACTTCTGATTCTTCTGCTCTCTGGCACGTTCCCGCTGTGTCGCCTCTATGACCACCGTAGACCTGTCGCTACAACTCTACCCGCCGCCTTTTAGACTCCTTAGGCGCTTGGTCCAATCCTGCGTGAGACCACTACGACGTTCCCTTCTTCCTTCCTCTTTCCATCTGTTGCCGGACAGGTGCTCCCTCTTCCTGACCTGGGAGGCCTTTCTCCGGTTTCCTCTTGGAATGGTCCGTCACCGTCTCTATGTCCAACATCGCAATGCCACAGTGGATTGTAGTGCCCATCGCACCCAAGAAATCCATCCCAGGATGAGGTGGTCTAGCATCGATGGTATGATAAGCATCAACATGCTAATCGTTTCCCCTGCTAAGCCAACGTCTAACCTCAAGGCATTCCCTACTTTGAGGGTGGACCCAGCTTCCAGTCTAATTCGCGCCTGTACGTCATCCGCTCTTCCCCGAATCGCCCACCTGCGTACGGAATCTTCACTCATAAAGCTGCGAGTGGCCCCGCAGTGACGATCCGACCACCGTCCAAGTCCCGTGTGTTTCGGCGCCGACCCGATCCTGGCCTGGGCGATGCCGTTGCCGGTTACCCGCCTCCGTGCGGTTATAACAATCCTAGCTACTCCTGCCTTGGCTCCCACACACCCAGGGGACCCTCCTGTCCACAACGGTCCGAATCCGATGGGAGTAGACCGGAATGGGTTAGGGTGTTCCCCCGGATGCTGTACCGCCCATGACTACTCCGCACTAGTGATCACCTGACTCCCCCACCTGCTTTCCGAGTATGGCGCTCTCTGTCTCGTCCCCGTCTCGTACTACACGTCCAGCTGGGGCAGCTGTGACAGGGTGAAATCGTGCCGACGCACGTAGAGTTTGTATTTGGCAGCGGCGTTTTCGTAGATCCGGTGCAACTCCTGTGCCGGTTCGTATCTGGCGTGATGCATAAGAGCTCTCAGCTCTAACAGGTACTCCATGAATTCCTCCCCCTCGCGTTGCCTGCGGGACCGGATTTCGTCCTCAAGCCCTTCGAAGTAGCGTGGGGCAGGAAGAAATGGAAGAAGCAAAAACCATCCTGAACACCGACCATAGCACATCTCTTAGCCCACCGACCGGCCCTGTCGCAGAACACCTCACTCATCGGCCGGGGCAATCTATCGAGGGCGATGGCGCGTTTCTCTAGGTCTCCAAGAACTCGAGGGGGTCGGAGCGATCATCGTATCTCATGCCCCACCTCCGAACTTGTTCCGGAGCGTTTGAGAAAGGCCTAACCTACGACCGAGAATATGGTGGTTGGGGCCCCACCCCTACGTTGGTCGTGGTTGCACGGCGGTCTCCATTTTCCTTGGGATCGGGAGCCTCTTCCACACCCGTGACGGCCACACCAGGGATAGGCGGCCGCGGACGCCTGTACAATTGTGAGCTCCTATGATCAGGCTCTGACTTTTGGCACAGCCGTCCAGCCACGTCAGATGGGACGCCCCAGGATAGCAGCTCTAACGTTTTCGCGAATTGAGACTCCAGCTCGGCAAGCCGAGCCCAGATCTCAGACGAATGGCTGCCCTCCTGCACGGAGGTGAATAGCCGCCTACGTAGTTCCTCCACGCACCCTTCCTTATCTAGCCCGAACTCCTGGGCGATGGCCACCAACTCTTCCTTGCGCCGCTGATAGATACAACCACTAACCAAACAACATATAGACTAGACATGAGTACCAGAAAGTAGGCACAACATGTATCGGAGGCATCTGGTCCAAACTCGCGAGTAAGGGAGTAAGATATACATATGATGTATTTTTGAACCGCTTACTCTACAGGAAAGTGCTTGGCGCGCTCTCTTCCATATGATTTGTGCGATAGAAAGGCAACGCTGTTAACTTTTATCTCGCTCGCTCTTACTCTCAGCTCTCAATGCTCTCTCTTTATGTTTAGGGATCGTTTAAATGCGTGTGTGTGTATGTGTCCGACAAGCATAACTGCGCAAAAATTCAATTTTTCTCAAATGCTGAGGCATTTCTACCCTTTTAAAGGCACGAGTAATATGAAATAGAGAAAGGGTTTGCCACGTCGATGCGAAATTCTTGCATTTTAGCTAGCTATCGTTGGTAAGGGTACCCACGAACTTCGTGTGTACGCCGAACCTACTTAGAATCCTCTCTCGGAATGCGGTCTGCAGGTGTGCCGCCGTGACCCTCCTGAGAGGGACCCATTTCACCCACTTTGAAAAGGCATCATGGAACACCAATACCATTGTGTTGCCATGTTTCGAGCGTGAAAGGGGCACGACGAAGTTGGCGCAGAGTACTGCCATTGGCTCTGCTATCTGCCGCGTCAGCATATGTCCAGCCGGTTTGAGTTGTTCACTCTTAAATTTTTGACAGATTTCGCAGCACTTCACGTACTTGGCGGTGTCGCGGAACATACCTGGCCAGTAGTATCTTTGTGCCAATCTCGACACGGCTTTCCTCACGCCGTGGGAGCGTTGTGGCATTCCTGCAATACCCTCTGTCGCTGATCACTAGACACGCATAGCTTCCATGAAATTTAATCCTCATCAGTTACCCATTATCTTTTATGTAGTAAGAGAACTTGGCCGGGTCCTCGGCGATTCTAGCACTCATACTCGCGACCCACCTGCTGGGTGACTCGGCTACCGCAGCTTGTTGGCAGGTCTCTAGATGATGTCTTGATAGTGCCTCGGCCACAACGTTGAACTGCCCTCGACGGTAGTGGAC